GTCATAATAATAATATTAAACATCCTGTCTTCTAACAGTCATCAACTTTCTATCTAGTTATCCTTGACCATATGCAACCTGCTGCAACTCATAAGAATGCCAAAACATTCTAACAGCCTGAGCTAGACACCCTGTCTACTCTAAACATTTCTAATACATCAAGTATCTAACTAATATCTATCTGACTAAAAATTCCTAACACTGGTAACCAGTGTAGCGAGTAAAGGACAGGGGTCATGTGGGCGTACTTAGGAGTATTTGACAGTAGATGAACAGCAGCATTCTGTACCATTTGAAGCTTCCAAATTAATTAAATCATTCATTAAAAATGACTTGTTAGTCAGAGAGTGGACATTATAAACAGCCAACTCTAAAAGGGAACCAGAAAAGCCTAAGTCACATGTAGAGGAGGTCGGTGGTGATTGAACATTTACATATTTAACATTAGTGAGGTACCTGAGGGTCTGTGGTTGCTATGATGAGACTGACCATGCCACTGGATGTATCTTTGAGGACATGGCATGGGGTCTGCCTCATCTCTGGTGGTGAGTGATGATGTGTGTTGTTTTTACTGTCTAATAGTTCACTGAGCTGACTGAGCTTTATGGGTGCATCTTTAAATAGCTTCTTGACTGGTAAGTGAGATGGAGGGTAGGAGGCCAGGTCCCTGTCAGAGACATCCTTGAAGGTGATGAGGGGGGTCGTTCAGTAGGCATCATTGGAGGGTGGAGGGGGGTTCCTGTCTGGGGCAGCTCTGAAAGGGAGGAGGGGGGTTGGGACAGTGACATCATCTGAATGTCCTGAGTGATGTGGAGCAGAGAGTCAGCTGAGGTTGCAGAGTCTGTGTATGTGCTGTCCTTCAGGCTTATCCAAGCTTTCTTGTTTGGATAAGAACCCAAGGTCATGATGTAGATTGGCACCCAGTAGTCTGAATCCAGAGAGGCTTGGATGTACCCTATCATGTTTGAAGAGCTCTTTACAGTTCCAAAATATATTGAAGTTACTGATGAACTTTAGTCCATGAGTGATGCACTCTGTATACAACCATGTATTCAGGATCAGGAGTCAGTTAAATGATTCTGTTCCTTTTCCAAAAGTTGGAATGGGGCCAGAGATGAGTGCATGTTGTGACTGATAGTTGTTCAGTTTGTCCAGCAGCAGCAAAAAGTTTTTTTTTTTTCTGCCGTCTGCTCACTTTGGAGGTGCGTTCTGGGAGCTAAATTTCAGCACCCCTCAGGAGATTGTAACTAAAATCAAGTTCCAGGAACATGAGGGGGGAGGGGGTGGGTGCATGCAGAGCTGCCGCCTGTGATTGGTTAAATGTTGGTGTCCTCACACCTCAACAATTACCATTATGAGCACAGTGTGTAAATACGCACTCACTTGTTTAGAAGTTAAGCAGTCGAGGACTTCACTTGCTGGTATAGAGATTAAACAGGGACTTCAGTGTGTGGACCGTGGTCAAAGAGGTGAAGACATCACATTTCTGCAAGTTTGTGTTTGGTTCTTCAACATCTGTAGGAACCATTACTGATTCTGTTGCACTGAGGAGCACTGCGATCTTTGACTCACACATGCTCTGCTCAGCTATGTGAAAACAGCAGAAAAGCAAAGCTGGACGGACGCATCACCACATGAGGTTATGCCAGGTGATGGTAAGGGAAGCATGTAGTGCACCGCTTATTAAGTTCTGACACTGGAAACGCAGCTAAATACATAACATTTTCTGTGGCTGCTTTACAATTAAAGCCACCCATCATCAGTAAAATGCTTTTAGTGTAAAGCAGGAGCAGTAGGAAAGTAACTTAGCACAGTAGGGTGCAAAAGGAGAGTGAACAGCAATGAGGTGAAATTACAAACAGTAATTTCAGAGTAGTTATATGTTTCAATTCCTGCAAAACCTTT